ACACTCCCAGATGGTCTTGTAAACAACAACATTATTATAATGCAGCATATAGAAAACCGTAAGTTATGAATGCGACATCTGCAAGCAAACATAATGTTCCTGGGCTGGCTCTTCAGGAACTGCCTTCTGCTTTGCCAAAGTCCTTCCAATGGCAGCCTTGGAGGAGCTTCCCATGTGCTTGCCGGCACACAGCCGCTCGGACACAGAAGACAGCTGATCATCTGCTTCCTGCATGAGGCAACCACACCAGAGGGCAGGCACAAGCCTCAGAGCTAGAGCTCTGCCTTAGTCATCGGGGAGAGACTGCTCAGGGTCTGCTGCAGGTCAAGTGACTACCTCTATGCTACCAGGCAAGCTACAGACACAAAGTCTCTATAGGGAATCTCCACCGCTACTGGAGAACTTCTATGGACAGACAGAGGTTGAGCGCCAACAAGGCAGAAAGGAACAGAAAAGGTCTGGAGAGCCACAGATAGCCATGGATGGCAGCCAGCCGGTGAGGGGAACCTGAAAGCAAAGAAAGGGAACAGAAAGCAGCTCAGGGAAAGCGACTTGGAGAAGCAGAGAGGAAATAACAGAAAAGAGAGCAAGGGGAAAAAAGGCCACGACAGAGCAGAATGAGTCAGAGGAGAGATGGAAAGAAAGAAGGGGGAGGAAAATGAGCACTTTGGGAAGAGAGAGCCCAGCTAGCAAAAAAAAAAAAAAAAAAAATCTGTAAGACTGAAGAGAGTTTCTGACTTGATGGCTCAGAGTATCAGAGCAGGACCAGGCGCTACACGTAGGCGCAACATGAACAGTGACATTGGAAGAGCATCTGAGCCTCTGTTCTGATGACGAAGGCAACAAAACAGTGGCAGAGGAGGATTGCCAGAAACCAACCTGCCACTCCAAGGGGAAAACAAATCCCAACTTCGAAAGGCTGCTAACGTGCTCTTCTGGCTTCCTGGTCCAGGACTTAGGGGCTGATCCTGCCCTCACTGAAGTCAGAGGCAGCTGTCTGACTGCTGACTGCACTAACCTGGATCAAGTTCTAGAATAAATCTTAGATGACTACCCCTCAGAAGTAATATTTACAGAAAATAGGAGAGAAAAAAAGAGTACTTCTCCAGGTTTATACTTCACTTCCAGTGTCTATTGAGTCATTGCAACTACTTCTAAATTATCAGTTTTAAGTCGGCTTCTCAGTCCACAGGGCTGCCTTTCTCACAAAGAGGGATTTAAATAGAAAAGTTGTTTATTTTACATATAGAAACAGGCAGTTTAGTAACATTAGGCTGTGTTCTAGCTCTGCTAAGAGTGAACTAGCCTGTGTTTTTCTGTGTTCCTCTTTTGTGTATTTGCCTAGAGCAAGGGACGGGCACATTTCAGACACATATAAAATACTAGCAAGTTACTGGTAACATCACAGTGAATCATATTTAGTCACCCTGCAGGTATGCACATATCTAACCTTGTTTACCAGCTTGCTAGTAAGATGCCTTGTGTGCTGTTGAACGTCCTTGGCCCTTAGCATCATAGTACACTCCAGATGCCGAGAGTGCACTTTGCCACGTGTTGTTATTAGTTATCAAAGACAAGACCAGATTGTGTGAATGCCATACTCCCCCCCAGGACCTCCCCTCTCCTCATATCAAAGAAAGGGGAAGATGAACAGCCAGTGCAGAAAACTATACCTCCCGTCCCCTCCTCTGTCATCTCAAAGCGCTCTGCAGATCTGAGAAATATGTGGAGAGGGAGAGCGTTGTGGAAGTCAGTCCAAGGGGACGGGGGTGGAGAAAGGAGAGGGCCATTTGCTGTTGCTGAGCAAGAAAAGGAGCACACTCCTGTTCAGTACTAGTTCTTTGCTGAAACCAGCAATAATGGTAACAGCCAATTCTTTCTAATATTGCTGACTTTTTTTAAAAAAAAATCTTCTTTTAAAAAGTTAATAACATCAAATAGCTCAAGCTTTCACTCCTCAACCATACCCCTTAAATGTAAGGTACTGCAGCTTGACTGAGCTGTAGGATAATGTAGTCCTTTTAATGCTCCTTAGGCAAATCTGTAGGAACTTTGGAGTCCTTCAATGCAATGCAAATTTGGTTTGCAACATTTTACCACTTCCTCCAGATAAAAGGCACAGCTAATATTCACCTGCTTTCAGAAAGCCTAAGATAAACACACACACATATACAACCTCACATACATATGCATATACATTTGTATGTATATAAAAACCACTCACACACAAATGTATATGACTGAATGCTAACACACACAAGAGTGTGCTTTTGTCAGGTGTTCTTTTTGGGTTAAGTATATTGAGCTTCACTGTAGGTGGCAGGACATCTGCTTTTAAACAGGACATTAAGAAATCATGCTTACCCCAGGAGTTTTGTAAAGACCGGACATGCACGGTGCAATGTCTTCTCACATCCAAAGCTTTGCGTCAGTGTTACTTAGTTAAATGAGATTTTTATGTTTCAACTTAGTGAATTTACACAAGGCTGTGGCCGGTCACTTTAAAATGCTGGTATGATGAAGTGTTCTTTATGCAGAGAAGCACCCTCTGCAAAGTAATTTTCTTTAGAGCAGGAGCAGTGTAATTTTAAACAGTATTACTGAAATTGTGAAGTGTGCTATGATTGCTTAGAAAGTAATCCTGATTTTTATTCCATCTCTGTTGCAGACTTAACCCCCACCTCCTTACCAAGCTGAACAGATCACGATCTGCTTATATTGAGTTTCGATTTTTCAAATCCTGTACTGATGCTTTGCTCATTCCCGATTCTACTGAAGTCGGTGCGCCCGTTCCTGAGATAAGGGTAAGTGAAGGTTGCTGGCTCCAGGTCTTAGGCAGGAACTGAGCATCGCAGGCTGAGGATGCTTACTTTTTCCCAGCTGTTCATGCACTAATGGCGTATGTTACCTGGGACTGTCAAGTAAAGCTAGTGTAAGGGACTATAATCCCATCTGGTTCTAACTGCACAAACAGTGCCTCAGAGAGATGTGAAAACAGTGTAGTATTTTACAAAAGCTGTGATAGGTCTTGAGGCAGGAGAGGAACCACGCTCACTTAAGGCAGGCACTGAGGAATGAGAATGGCTTTAGGACGCGCAGGGGCTCCTGTGCCAAAGCGATGGGGAGGGAGCGTGCTGGGAGGGGCGGGAGGCCAGGGCCGGCAAGGACCGACTCTGTCCCTGGCCAACCCAGCACACGCCCCAGCCTGGCTGCCAGGCTACTCTTCAGAGCCCCATAAAGCCAACAAGTACAAAGACAACTGGCACGCTGGGAAGTCAAATTTCAGTCACAGTGACCCTGGCAGGTGCTGTGCCCTGCAGGCCACAGGCAGATTCTCTCCAGACCTACCCAGCATCCTCAAAAGCTGGGGCTGAGGTGCCACATACACATAAAGGCCGTGTTATTTAGAATTTACTGCCGCTCAGCACTGCTAAAAATCACGCTCGGAGGACTTTAGGTAGGGTACCCGCAATGGATAATACATTTTTACAATACTTTAGATCCCTGGTCAGCAACCTCATTGCGTGAGACACTATAAGCATGCTGTGCCGGGCACACAGCGGGGGTGTGTGTGGGGGGACAGGGATCTGCAGGGATCAGCGGACTCCCCCGTTCCCAACCTGCACCCAGATGGAGGGAGACAGCCCCCCCCCCCCCCCCCGGCCCCGGAGCCCCCGCAAGCCTCTCCCACCCCGCATGGGGCTGCAAAGGGACGGGGGGGCTGCCGCCAGCCCGGCAGCCCTGCGCCCATCCCCGCCGTCTGCAGAGGGCACCCGGGACCCGCCGGTGGCGGCGGAGCCGAGCTCCCGCCTCCCGGTTGCGGGAAGGGGAAAAGCTCCAGCGCCGGGGGACACCCGCCGGGGAGCGGGCTGCGGCTCCCGCCACCCGGAGAAGACGAGGAGAGGGAAAGGTGTAAGCATTTTTAAAAGGGATCAGCACTTTTAAGAGGTGTAAGCATTTTCAAATGAGGCACGAACACACACAGCGCCCCGCCCCAACCCCCCCGCAGAGGTTAGGGATCTGGCAGGACGGTGGAAAAAGCCCTGTCTCGCCTTAAACACCCCTCACAAAACATCCCTGGCGAGTCAGCCCGGGGGAGACCCGCTGGGGCTGCTCCCCCCTGGCAGGGAACAGAGCCCCCCGTCACACAGGTAGGGCCCAGAAATAAGTCCGGTGGATTTATACCGCTGTGCAGCGTGGAGAACCAGCCCCGAGAATGTCAAAACGCAGACCCTCTGCAAGGGGAGGGTCACACAAGGTGAGAGGCGAAGTGAGAGCAGGGGAGAACTTTTCCATCCTCTCAGAGGGGAAAACATTCACAAAATACCAGCTTGTCCCCGTTCCTGGTCAATCGAATCATTTATGTAGTTACTCAAACAACTGGGGAGAGTGGAAGTGCTACGCACACGTCCATTTTCAGACGAGCGGATGCTCCGTGCCACTCTCCACACTTGAAATATTTTAGAGTAAAACACGTAACTGTATCTAAAAAATACCCCAAGCGTTAAACAAATTAAAATCAGCCCCCAAGACAGTTTAACAGGTCCATTCTCCTTCTGCACAGTCAGGCCTGAGCATGGGCAACATCCCCCGAGCTGGCTTAATCCACTTCAGAAACGAAAAGAGAAAACATGGATCTAACCGCTGGTGCAATTCCCCTGTTTTGCAGAAGTTATGCGAGGAATTATGCCAGCTCCCAGAGCCGCTCCGTCCACTGGCAAGCGCCGCTGCCTCTTCCCCCACCCTGCCCCACTCTCCTTGTGGCAAACAACATACCAGCACGCGGAGATTTTTCAGCTACAGCCCTTCTCCTGCCAACAACCCCCGAGGGGAGGCCGGAGACAGCGGGGAGGGGGGGCAGCGTGAACAGGGACCCCTCCGCTCCCCCAGCCCAGCCCGGAGCCCCCGTTGCGGCGGGGCTGGGGT